CTCAGCCTCCCGGTGGCTGGGACTGCAGATGCACACCACACACCCCCCCCCCAGCTGCTCGTGTTTCTTTGTAGAGAGGAGGTCTCGAATTCCCGGGTGGGAGGGATCCTCCTGCCTGGGCCTCCCAAAGCGCGGACATGACAGGCGTCAGCCACCAGAACGGCCTGTGGTTGTCTCTCTAGTGTCCTTATTGCTTGGACATACATTCTGAAATGTTGCTGAGGAAATGTGAGGGTGTCTGACGTTTTCTGGGGGAGCGTGAGGAAGGGGGTACAAATTAAACGAGACTGGCCAGGAGCTGACAGCTGGTGACACTGGCATGTGGCAGACCTCGCCACCCTACTCCGCCCACTTTTATGTGCATCTGACGTCTCCCACCACAAGCTTTAAAAGATGCTGAGGTTTTCAGCAGCTTTAGGACAGTCTGATTTCTGACTTGCCTGCAATTGATGGTAACTAGCAAGTTATTTTTATCACCGCCTAAGTTTCTTTTTTTTGAGCCGGAGTGTCACTCTGTCGCTCAGGCCGGAGCGCAGGGGCATGCTGATGGCCACCCCAGCATCAACCTGCTGGGCTCAGGCGATCCAAGTAGCCAGAACTACAGGCGTGCACTACCACACCCAACTAATTTTTTATTTATTGTAGAGACAAGGTATTGCCAAGTTGCCCAGGCAGGTCTCAAACTCTTGGGTTCTGGAACTGCTCTTGCCTCAGCCTCCCAAAGTGCTGGGACGACAGGCTTGAGCCACCACGCCCAGCCACAGTCTAAGTTTCTATCTTATACCTTTAGGGGTACTTTTCTGAATCCAAAGCACACTTCTACTGACACGCAATCACAGACTTCCTTACTATTCAATACTTTCTTATACAAACACTATGTCACATAATGCCCTATAAAGCATGAACACAATTATAAGCCGACTCACCTAAGTGTGTCAGTGCTCACTTGTGATACCCCATCTGATACTCAGTTTCTGACACACAAGGTTATATACAAAAAAATTTTATTAAGTACAGTTTCATATTTAGAATTTCCAAGCTTACAAATGTGATTGGATCTTTAAGATACAGTTTATTCTTCAAATACACAACATATACAGACATTAAAAACTCAGTCTCCAAAATACTCAATAAAGATGTCTGGGTGACTCTTGTAGAACTGGCCTAGCAATTTCTTCTTCTCTTTGGCAGACAGTTTTGAATCTTCATTAATAGTTTTTAGTAAATTCAGCAGCTCGTCTCTGGTTGCCTTCTGTGCATCGTTGGAATAGTTACTTTGATCAATTCTCTGGCAATAAATATATCCTTCAAGTTTAAAAGTAAGACACTCATTAACAACTCTATTCCTCAGGTTTAAATAGAAAAAAATCAAGCAACACTTTTACATTTGCATGTCTCTTCCCATCCTGTAATATGTGCTGAAGATGGTAAGCACAGCTGACTTTAGAACCCTGGTCAAGTTGTTTTTTGTTGGGTTTTTTTTTTTTGAGACAAGGTCTCACTTTGTCACCCAAAGCTGAAACAGTTGGCACAGTCATAGCTCACTGCAGCCTGGAACTCCTGGGCTCAAATAATCCTCCCGGCTCAGCCTCCGAGTAGCTGGGACTTACAGGTGTGTACCACCATGCCTGGCTAATTAAAAAAAAAATTTTAGATGTTGCCCAGGTTGGTCTCAAATGCCTGGCCTCAAGCGATCCTCCTGCCTCAGCCTCCCAAAGTGCTAGGATTTCAGGCATAAATCACACCTGACCTCAAGTTGCTTTTTGACAGAAGAGGCTGCCAGCTACGTCTGGACAAACTCCAGAAGGATGCTCTGAATTTACTTGAAATTAAAGCTACTTAGTGCAAAACACCTTCAAATAAACACTAGAAATCTGTCTCTGGAAGACCATGTAAGTGACACTTCTGAGATTACCTGTGTCTCTGTTCGGGTCTCTCCCCTGCTGTATGGCCGTGAGCTTGACACTGACAATTTTATGCAGGGTTCCAGGAATCTTAAGAAAAAGAAAGGACCTGGGACATACTCCGCGGCATCCAGGGACCCACCACATGCGCCCAATCAGCCACTCCGGAGTTTTACCTTAAAAACATCTTTCTGATGATCCATTAGGAAGAGAACCAGAAGGTCTGTTTTGCCTTTGGATAGATTTTTATTGTCCACAAGAGCTTTGGAGAAGATCCTCTTCACAACCATTCGGTTTTCACTCTGTAAGCATAGACGGAACACACCCATGGTATGAAATTCAAAGACCAAGTTTGTCGCGAAAGGGCACATCATGTGCTGACAGCAAACACAGGCTGGGAATTCGTCCGCAAGCCGAGCGCCCTGCAAGGCACTGGGACAGAACTTGGGGCGTCCTTTTCCAGCTGACGACAAATGCCTGTCATCCACTTCCACACACTGGATGCTGAAGGTGGGATGACCCGATACACCCAGGGAGTACCAAGGGCCCCGAAAGGCAGTGCACACTCCACCGGAGGACGTACCTCCTTCTGTAATCTGAACTCAGCGGGGTGGGCCGCCACGGCCATGAAAGACAGCAGCCGCCGAAACTCTTCCCTGCGGTGGGAATCCAAGAGCTTCAGAAAGAGTTGAGTCGCCTCCAAGGCCACCTGAGTCTTCCCGTTCACTTGAGCCAAAAGGAAAAGACGTGTTTGACCACACGGGACTAAACCCATGGCCACAAAGCCCCAGCTACAGTTTAAGCTAAAAAGCACACGTATAGCTGGGCTCGGTGGCTCAGCCTGTAATCCTGCGCCTTTGGGAGGCTGAGG